TATATAAATGCTAGTACAGAAAATAGCCCTATGGGCATGACCTCTTTAGGCTTGGATAATGTTCGCTTAAACTCACTGGAAGGAAGATTAGTTAATTAATACGATGTTAATAAAAATAAATTATACAACTTGCCTGTAAAAATGTGCTTACATTTAAACTAGTCAGATTATATAACTGTTTCTGATAGCTTTCAGTGGATTTCAGATTTAACCATGTTTCCTGTTTTGAATGTGATCAGTATCTGAGATTCACTTCTAAATTTGTAAGATGCACCTCTCTATAAATTGTCACTAACTGAAATCACTGTTTCACTTCACAAATGTCAGAGAATAATCAGCAGAGTGTGAAAGTTATATTTCACGGCGTCTGCTCTAATGCTATCTTGGTCTGTGCTAGATCCTGGGGGAGGATGTGCCACAGCCTTTTTCTCATGTAAGGCTTGCCAGTGGAAGTTATGCTTATCTCACTTCTCTTGGTATTCTGATGTGAAATGCATCTCGTGTCCATCCTGGGACAAGCTAGCGTGGGTAAGGAGCATGCCAGCAGCCCTGGAAAGAACACTTCTTAGTGATGATGCACTGCAGCCAAGGAAGGCGTGCTGTCTTGCCATCCCACCCAGTGATTCAGTCTGCAAATCCATTTGATTCCCTGGCCTTTTATACTTTGATTGTCAGTTAACAGGATAGTTAATTACAGCAAGCAGATAGTATTTCTGCAATATTGGCAATAGTCACCATGCTTAGGGAGAGGCTAGGGAACATGGCAACAACAGCACAAACTACTAACACAGGTGTTTTGCAATAACCTGAATAGCAGTTACAGTGTTTTCATTTTATATTTAGATTGAGATCAGCAGTTTTTTTCACAAGAGCCAAGCAGTAGTCATCAGGTGATGATGACTCCTATCATTGCAAACTTTCAAACATTACAGATATGTGCCAGAGGTGAAAAGCCACATTGCACTTGTGTAGCTCTTGCTGTCATCAATGCAATTAACTGTTGAAACCACACAGTGGCGAGGTAGTGAACAGCAAGGTTATCTTTCCACTATTGATAAGGAGGCAGATACAGGAGGTTGTGGCCCTGCTGGCCAAATGCAAGGCTGCATTTTCGGCTGTCTAGCTTCAGTTGTGTAAAGTCAGCTCTTCTGGGTATCAGCGCCTCAGCTGTGCTGAAGCCAGTGGTACTTCTCCTGTGGGATGTGACTATGCCAGTGGCAGTTCTCCTATGGGATACAGTTATGCTGCCTGCAATGAACAGACCCTTCACCACCCCTGCTTGATCACTGCCTGCTGCAGAGATAGGGAGCTCACATATACAAACTCAGGTGTGGTTCCTGCTTGGTTTTTGGAAGCTAGCTTGACCCAGGTCCCTGGTTGTGCACCAAATATGCTGCCAAGCATGCTCAAACAAGCTGCCTCCAGGGCCATTTGCAACTTGTCAGCATGGCAGTGAAGTGAGTTGTTAGCTGAAGAAGGAAATCGGGCACACATGGCTACTCTGCAGATGACTCCTCTGGATTAGTACAGACATAGTGATGCCAGGATCTCACATGTCGTATCTGTTTTGTTTTGTTTATTATTTCCCAAGTATGAAAGAAATTATGCCAGTTGGCAAATAAGGGTTTACACCTGCACTCATTTCTTTACTTTTGGGTTTCCCATCTTGGCTATTACTGCTGATAAATATAGTAAAGATGAAGCATTAGTGTTTAATTAAAACATCAAATTATTGAAATACACATGCTTTTGTTAGTAAACAATATAGTTGTTCTTTTTATGCTCCTTAGCATCTTCACAATCATGGAGAGTATCACCAGCTCAGCAGCAAATAGCAACAGAACTACTGGCATGCTGAAACTCATCAGGAAAATATCCTCAGGCTATGCTGCTCTACTATACTGCTATTCTGAATAAATTTGTGGTTTGGTGTTACATTCATACATTTTAGCTAAATACAGCAGTCAGCACTATTTCCCATCCTCCTTCCTATCCTAGCTCACTCTAAGGGATCACTGCACAGCATAAGGCAGCCATGGTATTTGATATCCCATTGTCCTAGTTTGAGCCAGGATAAAGCCAATTTTCTTTTTACTGATGGTTGGTTTGAGATTCCCTGACAAAACATCTGTCACGGTAAATTGTTGTTGCTACATTTTTATAATTTCATTTTCAGATAACTTCTGACAAAATTAACGGGAAATGCTGATTTAAAGGTATGGCCATAAGTATTAAAATAGGCAAAAATATTTCTGAAGGTTGGCTCTTGTCATTTGAGTTGAATATTGGGCTTAGAGGATAAAAGGAGCATCAAATCAACAAGAATCTCAGCAGGGTGAGTTTGGCCTTTGGTTTTGGACTATCTCTTGTGCTAAAACTCAATAAAATAGTGTTAATGGAACTCCCATAGTTTTGTTTTGAAAAACAAAACACCCTCTTTATGTAAGAGCATGTAACATCATCACTTTATACTTCAGCAGGCACTGTTTAGTCAGGCGGAGTTTCACCTCCAGGAGCAGTGTCCTCTCAGAGGACGGTCCCTTTGGCTGACTGAGCTTTGTACGAGATCTAACAGCGACATATTTTAACCTGCAGCATGTTTACACTTTTAATATCACATAAATGTGTGATGTATTCACAGGAAAAGGCAAAGTCTATTTTGAACATTGAAGCCTACATCACACATTGTCACTGGTGCTAATTTGCTTGAGGGGAACTTATATGGTAAACTGTGAAGTGTTTCTGCTTGAGAAAGAAGGCTGTTGGATTTTACATTTGCAAACAAATCTTTGAAATTGTTGTGTTATTGGGACAGAAAGTCAGGTAACTTTCCTGTCAAAGAAACATGTTCTTATCTAAATTGTATTTCTGTACATGAAGAAACCCAAAATCCATGTTGATTGTATTTCTGTATTTTTAAGAAACAATATCTACTAATATGGCTTATGGACTACATGAGCTGCATCAACAATTTGTTTTGCTGCTGTGACTGTTTTGAATACCAGGATCAGCTGCTTTCAATTTCAATACTGGCATCTTTGAGCCTTTGTCTTCATTTGGTATTTAAAATTAGATAAGAAAACATAAGCAACTGTCTTGGAAACTAGCGTATTAGTTAAAAAACCTCTTAGCACTAGCAATAATGACTTAAACAAAAGGTTCTTTTTGAATTCTTTCAATATTAATATGATAGCAAAAAGAGAAACCATTGTGTTCTCATTGTAAGTGACATTTTGGTAACATTAAGATCTTGTGGTTTTAACACTGTATTTCCCAAACAAAAACATTAAAACTGAACATCAGAAACATTCCACTGAATTATATAGTTTACATCTTATTTACTTGAATGCCCTTTGCAAGCAGCTTGACTGAATGACAGATAAGCTCAAGTAGCCATCTCAAAAGGCAGCTGAAAATAACAGCACTGAAAATGAAGAACAGCATTGAGTTACACAAGATTAAGCTGACTAATCTGCTGATTCAGTTTTGCCTTTGTTTTTTGGTTTTGTCATGCAAGATCAAGAGTCTTGCAAACAAACATGTAATGGCATTCCATGCTCACAGTAACAGAATCGCAGAATCACAGAATGTTAGAGGTTGGAAGGGACCTCTGGAGATCGAGTCCAACCCCCCTGCCAGAGCAGGACCAGCTAGGGAAGGTCACACAGAAATGCAACCAGACGGGTCTTGAAAGTCTCCAGGGAGGGAGACTCCACAACTCTGGGCAGCTCTTAAAACATCTACAGAATATAAAAACCCAGAAGTATATTCTTCTATAAGGACTCTATTTTGGACAGTCCAAAGAGATCAAACTCTTATGAATGCTGATAGGTAAGAAAACTGCCTGTGGAGCCTCTGGCAAATTTAACCCTTGCCCACCATGCACATGGGAGCCTGTTCATTCCTCATGCAGAGTCACTCAAGGATTGCCGACCCCATGGGAGCTGCTCTCCCAGTAGTATCCACCATTGCTGGGTCGATGAGGGTGAGGACCAGCGTGGCAGAAACCTGTGTGTTATCCTTGCATTCCTGACCCTGAGTGAATCCTTGGAGGACTGCTGGGAAGGCAGGGCAGACTCATTAGCATAAGAGCAGGCCATGCCAGTGGGATTGCAAAGCACAACACAAAGCAGATATTTCATGAAGGGGTACACTGACTGAAACAGGAGAAATAAGAGTCTTTCCAAAGCAGGAATCATAGTAGCTGCACATTTTTTTTTTTGTTATTATTTTTTTTTAATATGAGAAATAGCAGTGACTAAAATCAGAAAGTGATACTGTGGAAAGGAACATGTTGCAGGGCAGCTGGCATAGCAGGCTTTCCAAAATAAAAAGAGAATTAAATAAAGCCTCAACCCGCACTGCAAACATTTCAATATTTGGAAATGATATGGCTGTGTCATTATCCTTCACATCTCTGGTTCTACTTAAGCTGCTAAATGTATGCTGATGGCAGTGTGCGTCTTGCCTGCAGTGAAACTGGAGGTTCAGGCCAAAATGAACCTGGGAAGCAGCTTGTGAATGAAATAAGGGCTCTGTAGACCTGGGACCATGGCCTTGAGCTACCACTCATGGCTGTGCATAAAGCATTTGATCTCTGTGTGCAACGTTTCTTTATCTGTGAAATGCAGACAGTTACATTTATTTTTCAAGGTGAAAGCACACTGGCCTTTTCCAGCTGACTAGTGCAATATCAGAACTAAGTATTTTTATTATACATTTCATTGTAAGAATTTCAAAAAATAGGTGAAGGATGAGAAGGGGTTTCAGGCCAAAGAATTTCATCAGCATTTTATTGGATAAACAAAAAGGACTGGGAGGTAAATGAAAAGGTTGCTTTATACTAGTTTTTCATTATGTGAAAATATAAAGCAGAGAGAGCTGGTTTTATGAGGTTTTTTTATTATTATTATTTTTCCCCTCTGTATTCTGAATTATTAGCATTAGAGCAGAATTTAGTGGAAAAAGAAGGACTGAGACTGAGACCCCATCATGCTAAGCAGATACACAGAAGCAATTTGTGACTTTACACAAGCTTTCTGGAGACACAGTTTGCATGTGTGCAAGTGTATGGGACTGCTGATTTGAAGTCCAAAAGCTGGCTTATAGTGTTGACTGAGCACACTTAATTTCTTATTTTCCTAAATAGCATCTTGTTACGGAAATGCTGAAAATAAATCTGCAGATGTTGAATGTTATAAAAAAGGTCTTTGCAGCCTCTGAACTTACTAACACATCTGCATTTCCCTTATACTAACTTCTGTATTCAAGGATCTGTCACTTGGCCAGACTCTAGAGTTGAACTTAACACAGTGAATTTTCCGTTTTTGGGTTTTGGTGTTTTTGGGTTTGTTTTTTTTTTGGGGGGTTGTTTTATTTTGGTTTTTGTTGGTTGGTTTTTAGAGTTTTTTTAAAACCCAGGATAGCAGACAACCATCTGGAAGCTTCTGGAAACTGTTCTCTGTTGGATCAGTGTTCACATTGTGCTAATGAAATAAAAAGGTCTGGAATGTCAGTCTAGAAGTCCAGCATAGCAACTCCTCTCCACACCTGCTCATTTGTGTCTACTTTTAATCATTGAAACTGAGCTTGCTGCTGCCTAAGTTAAATCTGTTCCGTTGAAGTGGGTGATCATCTGCTCATCTGTCCTCCCTCTAATGATTTTTTTTTTAATGCATTGCTGATCCCAAAAAATTTGAAAGGGGAGCAAGAAAGGTGTCTAAATTCTTCACTTCCTTGGAATTATGTGGGAAAATAAAAATAAGCAGAGGAGAAAGACGTTTATTGCCCCTATGGATAGAAAAGGCTCACCCTCATCTTACTCTATATCAAGATAATTGGTGAAGGATAAAGATCCTGAAAGTGTCCAATCATTGGAAAAGTTTCACTGATGGTTTGTACCTCCTGGGGACCTACAGTCAAGACTCAAATCTGTAGGAAATCAGGTTTCATTAATTTCTATGATCTTACCACTACTTATTTACTTTTTGGTGGTTGTGTTTTATTTTATTCCTCCCAGAACGTCTAGGAGCAGTAGGACATAAAAACTTAAGTGCTGTTTCAAAATCAAACAGGAATATCCAGACTAAGAGCTTCATACTTTTCAAAAGATGATTGTTTAACTTCTGAACTCTTGCTTATTTAAGGCATCATGGACTTAAAAAGGGAAAATATGCGTAACCATGTGACAAAGCGAATTCACCAAAGGAAGATTTATTCAGTTTTCAGATCAGCAGCAGTGATTCACCCTTTTGGCTGGGCTGGAGCACAATATGGTCAACGATTTTCCCCTAGGAGGAAGAAAAGATGAAAGTCCCTCACTGCTGTGATGGCCACGCAGGGAGCAGTGACCTGTGCCAGGGCAGCAGCTCCAGTCAGTGCACCAGGTACAGAGAAAACTTCAGCCTTAACAGTCAGTGTGGTTGATGTAGGGGGTTCAAGTCAGGCAATCTAAATGTAGCTTTTAGTGGTTAAGTGAAACACAGTAAAAGCTTTAAAAAAAGGAGCACTCACCATCCAGAGATTGAATAAACAAAAGCGTATTTAGACAACTGTGTGCTATTCAGCACTTTACATCATGAGAAGAGAGTCCCTCCTCTTTCAAGCCCCCGCACAAATCTTGCAATAGATTTTTCAGGCTGATCTCAGAGATTTGTTGTTTTCAAACTTAAAACAACATCAGTTACCAAAACTAGAGTTATAAAAAGTGTATTTTTTATACCCTGCCTCTGCTTCAAATCCAGCTTTGAAATCTATGAAAGCAAAGCAAACTGTGTAATAAGTGTTAGTGTTTGTTCCAGTACTTGCTCAGGCAGTCAATGATTTGTGAAGATTTACTGATATATTGGGTTTTTGATCCTTGGAAGGATCAACAGGTTAGACTTTCTCTGAAAAACACTCAGTGCAGTAATGTCTGAAGCAACATCAACCACAGAAAAAAACCCCAAACACCACTACTGGCAGGTATTGCAAATGATAAAAGGAATTTCTTTTGGGATAATTTTTTTTAAAGTTCTGGTCTGCTTTTTTTTCATTTTATACCAGTTATTTGTGTCTTTATTATTTCTTACCGATTCCATAGTGAATCTCTTGAAGAAAAACTTGAAAGCCTGGAAGCTGAAGATCTCATGTCTCATCTGTCACGACCAGAAACCTACCTATATGAGGAGAAAAGGTCAAATAAGTAAAACTGACCAAAGCTGTGGGATTGACAAGATCACTTATTCAGTCAGTTTGGAACAATATCTATTCACACAATTTCTTCAATGACAGCAATTAATCACACATTATTTGATTGCTGCATTTGATATTGTGAATTTAATTGAGGTAAGCAGATCCTTAGAAACCCCCTGAAAATAACACCTTGTTAAAAA